GGTCCGTGTCTCACGATGGCATGTCAGAGCTGTTGCTTCCTTTTTGAAATTTTTATCCTCTGACTTTTATTTTATATTTTATTTCTGTATATTTTCTTCGTTTTACCCCCACAGGTCCTTTGCACAAGTATTATGGCTTCCAGTTTGGTGGGTTTTCTGTGAGATTCCTGAGTGTGCAAACGTGTGAGCCTCTGCTTCTCAAGCCTTCTTCCGGGATCTTTCCCTTCCGTTCATTTTGTCCAATTCTGAGGTGTTAGCTTTTATCTTATCTTATTTTATTATTATCACTTACAAGCTTGTTTGTTTTCTACCGGGAGACAGAAATGGTGTCGGGTATGAAATGGGAAGTAGGGGAGGTGGGGAGGAACTTGGGGGAGTAGAGAGAGGAGAAACTGCTCAGGACATACTATGTGAGAAAAGCCTAGTTTCAACAAAAGGAAAAAATGATGACACTGAAATTGAATGTTTCTCCCAAAAAATACAAAACCCAATCTCACAAAAATCTGTACATTAATTAAAAAAAAAAAAAAACTGATAAAGATCGGCCACCAACCCAAAGGGGGGAAGGGACGGATAGAGAATAAATAAGCAATGGAAGGACGTAAAAGAAATCCAAAGACCAAGTGTACAGGTTTATACCAACCTTCCTCTACTGGCTGGTTTTGTGTTAACTCAATACAGGCTAGTATCAGAGAGGAAGACTAGCCTCAGATTGAGGAAATGAGCCTCAGATGAGGAAACACCTCCATGATAACCAGCTGGAGGGCATTTTCTCAATTAGTGATCAATGGGAGAGGGCCCAGCCCACTGTGGACGATTCTGCCCCTGGGCTGGTGGTTCTGGGTTCTGTAAGAAAGCAGGCTGAGCAAGTCATGAGGAGCAAGCCTGTAGTAAGATTTTTTTCCTTAAAAAAACACAGAAATATCATAAGAATATGTTTTTGTCTTAATCCCAGGTATGGCTATGGGGCTATTTCACAGCAGCTAACTATGATTTGCCTCATACTCTAGCAGGGGCATGGTTCTACAAGTGTGTGACATTTGGAATTCTGCAAACTTTTCAGAAGCTATACAAACGCTATAGCCGTGATGAGTGGTTTTGCTGGTTAGTGGTTGGATGATGTTAGTTGGGTGTTGTTAAGTAGTCACATGCAAGGAAGAAGAAATCAGATATCCTGACATCGAAGATCAGACTTGTGCCAAGGAAATCAATGGCCCTAATCAGCAGGAAGTGGTCAAACATAACATTGCCTCCTTTCCCCTGTATCTTTCTTTTCTCTCACATCTAGTGTTAGAGGGATGAAAGAGTACAAGAATAAGGATGGGAAAGGGTGAAAGAAAGGAACCCACACAGTAGAAAACGCCAGCTACACAAGTCAGTAAGCAGCACCCCTCCAAAGCTTCTGCATCAGCTCCTGTCTCCAAGTTCCTGCCCTCCTTGAGTTCCTGTCCTCACTTCCTTCAGTGATGAACAGCAATGTGGAAGTGTAAGCCAAATAAACCCTTTCCTTCCAACTTGAAAAAAAAAAATCTGTACATGAATGATTGCCCATAGCAGCTTGTCTTTTACACTCATAAGTAAAAGATCTGGATGTTTATCGACTGACATATGAATATTCAAAGTGTGGGATGGCCATGCAGTAGTCAGCTACTCACATGGAGGAGCATCTTGGTGAAAACCAATGATGCCCGGGGGCAAACACAGGATGGAGGGCCAATCTAGTCGATGCTGAGCTCAGCAGCCCGCAGCTCCCGTCCTCAACTCTGCACTGTGTGTCACCTTCTTGGTAAACAAACACTCCTCCGTCTGCTCCCTGTTGATCCCATGACTGTTCCCTTCCACACATAACATATCACCTCCAACACTCAGTTCAGAGACACTGAAATTCGTCTGTTTACCCACTACCATCCTCCTTGAAAATCAATTCTACTTCTGCAGCTTTTCATTGCAAAGATGATATTAGAGCTTATACACACAGTGGTCAATTCAATGTGTGTACATATACATATATATATAAGCTTGTGCATGACATATATAATATATATATATTATTTGTCAATTTCAAAACTTAATTAGACTCGTCACTCTTTCTTCTACTGCCCATGAGTACCAGCCTCTCCTGGACTCCTCCCTGCACGGGTGTAACCAGTAAGCTCCTGGGGTAAGAGATTACTGATGCTCCCGGGACCGAGAATAGGCTTTGTATACTGCAGACATTCTGATGCTGCTTAATGAACAAATGAGCATGATGCCTAGTGTGTAAACTTCTTACCAGACTGTAAAGTATAACATGCAAAGGAACTAGATAAAGAATGGTAGGGAGACTCTCTAACGTGCTCCCCAGCAGGGCAGACGAGGACCGTGTGCTCTGCAGACTCCTAGCGGGGACCCTGCATTCTCCCTGGCCCTGTCCAGCTTGCAGCCAGAGAGCGGATCTTCCTTAGCGGAAACTCAGGTCAAGCCTGTCTGTGATGCACGGTATACTGGTGAATTGTCATGTGCCGTTGAAGCTTGTTGAACACGGACGCTGGGAGCAAGGTGGGTTCCCAGCCTGTTTATTTTAAGTGTCCTCTAAGACTTGTTCGGAAATGAGCTGGCCTCCCTGACACGGTAACAAAGAGGTGGAAAGAGCAAAATAGCACAAGAGTGAAAACAGTGCATGCTTGAAAACAGCTTAGAGCCAAACTATTCCCACCCGAGGCTGCCATTGTTTATTCCAAATTATAAAGATGCCTCCAGTGGGAAGAGAAGGCATGCGCCCAGATGCAGAGAAAATGCTCCGCCTGGACCTGCTGGTACATTTCCAGGGCGTGCGTTTCTCTCTGATGCATTTCCGTGCCCTGGGGAGCCACAGTTCTTCACTTCACCTTGCACCTTCAGGCCAGTCCTAATCTGGTGCTGTGTGCACTCATTGTATACACATGTGTATTGTTCCCGTGTGCGCACGCGCGTGCGGTAAGGGGTCAACGTCAGAAGCCTGTTACTCTCCCCGTCCGTCACTCATGTGATGCGTGTTGTATGTGGTTGTGTGTGCATGAGTGTTTGCGTAAACAGTGTGTATGTCCCTGTGCACACACAAGGAGCTGGAGCAGAACACTGGGTGTCTTTACCTCCTACTCTCTGCCTTATCTCCTTGGGACAGTCTCTCTCTGATCCAGAGCTTGCTGTGTGGCATAGGTTGGCCGGCCAGTGAGATCTCAGGATCCGACCACCTGGTCCCCCAAAGCCAGGGTTACAAGAACAAACTTTCTACATAGGTGCTTGGGACTCTCGCTCGGGCTTTTGTGCTTGCCCTTTCCCGCTGATCCATCTTCCTACACCATTTCTGCTCTATTGTACCAGACAGAGCCTCTCACTGAACCCAGAGCTCACTGACTTGGCAAGGCCACGTGGGCCAGCAAGCTCCTGGGCTCCTCCTACCTCTGTCTCTCTGGTGATGGCATCATCGGCATGAGCCGCTGGCATTTTTATGCATGCCGATGCTGAGTATCCAGGCCCTCATGCCTGTGTGGCAAGCGCTTGATTTTATCAACGGAGCCATCAGCCCAGCCCCTACTGCTTTTCATGGCTAACCGCCTTCCAGGGCTATGGCTTGGATGTGAGTCGCCTGCCCCCAAAGGCATATGTGTTGAAGGCCCGGTCCCCAGCTGGTGATGTTATTGAAGGGATTGGATTATCAGGGATAGGACTGGGATCGTCGGTAGACTAATACTTCACATGTGGAATGGGCCCTTAGGAAGTGGGGACTACTTAGGGTTTCTCAACCTTCCTCATGCTGCAACACAGGTTAATACAGGTCCTTACGTGGGGGTGACCCCAACCATAAAATTATGACTTCGTGACTGTGGTTTTGCTGCTGTTATGAACCATAGTATAAATACCTGTGTTTTCTGATGGTCGTAGGCAACCCTTGTGAAAGGCTTGTTTGACTCCCAAAGTCGTCACAACCCACAGGTTGAGAACCTCTGACTTAGAGGAATGGCTCACTGGGGGAATAACTGCTAGGGCACATAGCTTTCCTCTGGACCCCTCCTTATCCCTCTTCTTCCTACTACCATCGGCCAAGTAGCCTTCCCCCACCATTCTCTACCTTACCACAAGTCCAGAAAAAAGAGCCATGTTACCATGGACTGGAAACCATGAGCCAAATCATTTCTCCTCTAAGTCATTTGCCCTCCAGCCCAGCAGTTTGTCAACATTGTTTTCAGAGTGTGAAATGCCACCCACAGGCTCGAGTAGTTGAACATTTGGGCCCCAGCTGGTGGCTGTTTTGGAAGCGTGTGGAACTTTTAGGAAGTGGAGCTCACTGGAGGAAGGACATCACTGGGTCACTAGACCAAGGCTTTGAGGTTTTATGGCCCGGCCTCACTTCCTGTTTTCTCTCTGCTTGCAGAGTGTGTGTGGAATTTGACCAGCTGGTCACTCACGACTCCTGCCCTGTCTTCTGTACCTTGATGGTCTACATCCAGAGAGGATGTAAACTGAAAGAAACCCTTCCTCCTTTATGTACATAGCAACAGAAAATGGAACTAAAACCACCACAGCGACAGAAAAGATGATTAGCAGGCCCAGCACACCTTGGGCAACCCCCAGACAAGGGCATAACCTTTGTTCAGAAGAGGCAGGGAGGCAATCAGGCTGTGGCCACAAAGCGAAGCCCTACCTTCAGACACCTCACACAACAAGCTTAGTGACCAGACATTCTAATGGACAGGAGGCCAGCACCTCCTGAGATCTGTACCTTTTCCACTCAGGGCAGAGGCAGAGTCTATAATGCCGACTGCCAGCGCCAAGCACTGGCCACAGGCATGATTAAGGGAGCCTGTGTGAGGATGCCAGATCCAACTCATCCTACCCCCACCCACCTCTGCAGCCTAGCTTCCAAAGTCACCAATGATGAGGACTGCCAGCCTCCAGGTTACGCCCTGATGTTCGGTACAGATAAGAGCAGAGGTCCACTGTGAGCCGGAGAAGTCAGGGTGACAAAGATCAACCCTTACCTGGAATATGACTTGGTTAGGTTCTTGGCCTTCAAAAATCGAGAATGTCATGGGCTTCAGGGGACCACTGAACCTCCCTTCTTGGCTGTATCCACTTGTCTGTTAACAAAAAAAGAGAAAAGGAGCACTGACTGTGATTGTACATGTCACGTGTTAGTTCTATTTGACTCTCCAGAAACAATGTACGGAGCATTCTCTAACGGCCAAAAACAGCGGAACCTGTTAGGTACAGAAAGTGGTCAGTGTTTACTCAGAGACTCTCCTGCCCCATCAAGGCTGTCTGCCATGAGCTTGTTTGTTTGTTTTTCTCATTTAATCAGGCAAGCTTCCGTCCCATGGGAAGAAACTTAACTCCCATGTTACAAAGGAACAAGAGAGAAGCCCAGAGTGAAACATGGGTGTGATGGGCAGGAACAGCAGATGCTTCACCCAAACTAAACAAAAGTTTGCTGCCTCCCAGGAGGCACTCTGCCTTCCAAATAATGCATGGTTACACCAGCTTTTTGGAACACCTCCCTCCACTTATAATGTTCTTCGACACTTGTGGAGCATTCCCAGCATCCTGCAGTCTATGGTCGCCTCAAAGGCAGTTGATTTTAAAAGAGGGGCAAAAAATATGCTGATGGATTAGCACAATGCTTACTTGGTACGCAGTCACATGGTAAATTCTAGTAAAAAAAAAAAATCCTTTTCAAAGAGAAAAGCATTCCCACCTCTGATATATCACAGAATGGTTAACCCTGCCCTGAATTTGTCATGTGGACTTCCTGTTATCTCTGAGAAATAACCCTCCATTTACTTAAGTTGCTCTAAGTCCCAATTTCCCGTTATTTGCAGCTAAAAGCATTTTTAACTTCCACAATAGTTTTCCAGACTTCGAGTTACCACCCCTCTGAGCTTGCCATCCCTTGGGATTCTTCCCTCCCTCTTCTCACGTCTTCCCCAGCTTCATTACTTATGGAAGGTGAGGCTGGAGGACCGGACGCAGGCATCCAGCCTGTGGGTTAAGACTCGAGCAGCATTTCCTGCAGTGCTGCCAGTGAGCTCCAAGGCTTGACTCTGAGACCACCCAGCAAACAATCAACCTTGCAATTACCCACACCAATGGAAACTCCCTTAGCCCACAGACCTCACAAGCAAGGCTATGTTTTCCATCTACAGACGAGCCAGCACCCTGGAGGGAGGGAGAGTCAGTTCCAGGGTTCAAAGTTGCATCCTCATATCAGGACAGCAAACCTTCCTTCCCTCCCATTAATATGACTATTGGGGCTATAAAGATTTCAAAATGAATGTGTACAATATTAGTCACCAAAACATGGCACTGGAGCTGAGATGGATGGCAAGATGGAAGTGGCGAAAAGACAGTTTTCACCAGAGAAAGGCAAGTCACCTTCTCAGACAAGAAGAAAATGGGCCCATAAGGAAAGCCTGCTAAGATGGCCTCGCTCATTATGGAGGTCAGGGTCTATATGGATATAGGTTCTGGACTCAAAATGCCATGATAGTAATGGCTCTTATCTAGTCAATGTTTAGACTGTGCTGCTTTTTGATACAAAAGCTCCTATAAGTTGATTGCTAGGATTAAATCTACCCCAAAGGACAGAAAACCGAGGCTTAAAGCTCCCAGTGATTCAGTCCATTTCCTGTCCTGGGCACATGGTGGCCATGAGTGAGAAGCTGGCTCTGACTTTACTGTCCTCCTATGACAATGGGGCAGAAAGGGACATTTGAAAAGATAGAAGAGCAATGGTCCCCTTACAGACCCAGGCTGTGAGAATTCTCCTAGCAACTGGACAGCAGTCCCCACCTTAACTTTGAAGGAGGTTCTGGTTTGTTCTGTGGTGTTGGGGAGGGGGTGATAAAAAGGCATTATGTGCATGCGTATTATGCATGATGTATGTTAATAAAAACATTCAAACATTTTAAAACTGTATAGGCCCTAGGAGGCTTTTGAGGACTCAAAATATGGTGTATTGTTTTGGTGTGTAAAAAATAAAAGAAAGACAGATATTAGGTGTAGCAATCTAAAAACTTCCCTTTATGAAAAAAAAAATATATATATATACACCTGAAATTTCGGTTCATAAGACAATGAAACTTTGGACATCCTTCTGTACCTTGGGAACCTGTGAGTAAAACAGGAGTGGCACCCCACTGTCTACCCAATAGCGGGGGTTCAGTTTCTGTCCAGTTCCGTGCTGAAAGCTTGTCAGACAATAACAACAATAGAAGATGTAGCTAAAGACAAATGGAACTAGGCACTTCCAAGCCGTTTATGCAAATAAAGAAACATAGAAGGGTGAAAACAGGAAAAAAATAGTTTCGTGATGTGCCTTTGTGGGTGGATGAATCGCTGTAACTCCTTTCTACAGCCAGAACAGGTGAAGGGTGGGTTTACTTTAGACTTCAGACTGTAGCTCACTGGTAGAATGCTTGTCTACGTACAAGCCCTGGGTTTAGGCCTCAGTAGCATAAAAATAAACAAATAGCGCTACAACCATAGAGCTCAGTCTTGCCTCTACATGGCTTATTGGCTCCTAAGAGCTGATGGCTTTGTAGTCATTTCATTAGATACACCTCATGAGAACACATTACATCCATTTTGGACAACAACTTAATTTTGATAGGCCACCTTTCAAAAAACAAAAAAAAAAAAAAAAAAAAAAAACAGTGGTGATAACCATTCTTTCCGTGGTATGGAGAAAAAGGATGACTGTGCTTACCACATAAAGTGCAAGGAGACAGAGGGCATGAAGCTGTGTAGAGGCCATCTTGCTCTCCTCACGTGGACTCCTGTGAGTGAACCAGAGATAAAGGGTGTTAGTTACCAGCCTGTTAAATCACAACTTTCCAGCAGTCAGGATCTTTGCCTGATATCCTGTCACAAATCTAGCAAAACAGGGTCCTTAGAGGCCAACTCTCTCCCGTGTGGAATAGACAGACTTCCGGAAGCTTCTCCATCCCGTCACAGCAATGCACCAGCCCACATCTCCAGATGAGCTCTGTGATTTCATTTCTGTAATTGCCTCACTTCACTTAAGAGCCTGAAATCATAGACATCTCTTTCGCTCATTTTGCCCTGTGTTTCGTTTTAGGGTTTTTTATTTGCTCCCATAGATGGGAAGGTGCACTGTGGCAGCTGCCAGGAAAGATAGGTCAGATAATTTTTGTGGTTCTGGCTGGAAGCTGGAAATGCATGAGGTTCCTCAAGTGGAGAGAAGCCAAGAACATCTGTAGCCCTCCAAGACCTCACCAGATGCCTCCCTGGTCTTCTTGACGGCTCCAAAAGAACTCATACTATTTTCCTACCCTTCCTTAAGGCTTCACATTTCACAGAAATTTTAACTTTCGTGCTGACATGTGTCATGACTAACTGATTCTAGTATGTAAATAAAATTCCCACTTGGCCTGTAAGGCAGCATGGCTGCCTCTTCTAATACCAGACTGCCAAAGTCAAAACAAATAGAATTTAAAAAGAACAAACAAGAAATCAAAGCATGTATTCATTTCACTAAAACTCCAAGCCAGTTTATTATTATACTTAGGGATTATGGATGATCTTGGCTTAATTCACTCTTTCATTTGTTTAAAGTTTTCTACATTGGCTATGCATCACTAATATCAATAGCATATAAAAATAATGAAAACTTTAATCATTATGAAACTTTCATCTGCCCTTAAGAAGAGGAATAAGCTATCCCACTTTGGCCTCACAAAAGCCGTGGGAGATAAAAACATGTGTCCCCTTTCAGGCCTCCTGCTTGAAAAGCCCTGAAAGTGATTTCATGGAGTGGAGCAGATGGTGGCTCAGAGCCAGGCATCCCAGGCTGCGACCCAGCCCTATTTCAACCGTAAGTGAGCAATCTCACCGCTCTGAACCCCAGTGTCCTCATGTGGAAAATTCCTGGTGGTAAGGAGTCATACGGAACTGTTGGGACGTTATAGATGAAGAAATTGGATTCAAGGTTGAACAAATAGCCTAAAGCCCCTTGGCTAAGAAGTGGCAGGGTTGGATCTCACAGGTGGACTCCAAACCTGTTCATTTCCTTCTTCTATGTCTATGTGGTGTGGCAGTAGCTAGGACACAGACACATCCACATAGAGGGAGACATTTATACAATGTACAGTTCTCATACGACATCTAAATTAAACAACTTGCTTCAAGGTTCCATGGCTGTTTTAAGGCAGAGCTAGAGCTAAAACCCCTCTGGACTCTTTTAGATTCGTTAATTTATTAGACTGTTTAAAATATAGTTTTTTGTAACAGAATAAATTTGGCAGAAATGTCAAATATCATTTTGGATTAAACTAATTATAATTAAATACAAATGAGGCCTATGTTTTACTACTGAGGACTGCTCATTTGATTTGGGAAAATGCTGAAACATGTTACAAGTCATCCCGAATTCTAGATTATTGTGAGAGGAAATACAAGCAACCCCAAGTAGCCACAAATTCCTAATCTGCGGGTTCAACTAACCACAGATTAAAAAAAAAATACTAGGGGTGGACAGGGGGCATGTGTAAGCACTAAACACATGGGAAATTTGTTTCTTATCATTCCCAAGACAAGAAAAGATAATAATGATGGCTGTGGCATTTACCATGAACTAGGTATTTAGGCTGGCGAGACAGCTCGGGAGGAGAGTGCGGTGCTGGAAAATAAGATTGCCGTGACTGGATGACGAGCAGTCGTGAGGTAAAGCCAAGTACAGCAGACTTGGAAGACAGATGCCGCGTGTTTTCTCTCACATGCTGAGCCTGGCCTTACCATTCAGTGCATGTGTGTGCGCTTCTATATGTGTGTCTCCAAGTCATGAAATCAGGAAGGTAATTATGGGAGGGAAGGAAGAGATTGTTAAGGATGTGGGCAATAGAGCAGAGTAATGTGTGTAATGAGAAAGCAGAAAAGGAGACCGACAGGGAGGGGACCGGAAGCCAGCTGGACCTAACCTTAAAAGCCAGCTACTTTTAAATTAAAACCAATTATGCATCTAGGTAATGTGGAGCTGGTTTAGAGTGGACAGAGGAGGCGGTGGGTACCTCCATCCCCACACCCTTTCCCCAGGGGCCTTGGGCGGTGTAGATCTGCTATCTGTAGTTGGCCTGGGTACGAAGGGATTCCCGCAGGCACTCAGGGATGTGACTTCTTTAGCTTGACCGCCTTTTTGACACAGGCAGGACCCACACGGGCAACCTACAGCTTCTTGAGGCAAGGAGAACAACAGCCCCGCCACTCCCTCCCCACACCCTGGCCAACTGTGCACTGGGCCCAGATCACTGGATCTGGGTCCTGTACTGACTACTCTCCCCACCTGCCACAGGCCTGGGCCGCAGACAATGAGCAGCAGGCATTTGGTTAACAAAGTCTTTGCTCATGTCTGCTTCTGCTCCTCACTCATCAACAGCGTCCAGCTCACTCATTTTCTTACAGGCCTTGAGTCGGACTTCCTATATGAACTGGATAGGATGCTAGGAACTCAGCTCCCAAAGCAAGGAGTACAGGGCAGAACTGGACCCTGCTCCTCCTTCCTTCAGGAAACCGTCCTTGATTTCCAGGCAGAGGCCTCTTCCTTTTGAACTTGCTAGTTTTTTTTTTATTATTATTTATCCTTTATTTATTTTATTTACTTATCCTTTATTCATTGGCGTTAGTTACTAAGAAGTGAAATCCTATAGAATCGAGATCTTATTACTTTTTTAACCTCCCAGGGCACTTCATAGCATAGCTCCCGTATATTAAGATTTCAACAGATGTTTGTTAAATTCTACAGCATTCATCATTGTCTGACATGGAAAGCCTATGCATTTGTTCTCATCTATAAGCTTTCAGAATAGATATTACTCTCATAAAAATAACGTCACTGATTTGAGATTTAAAGTCTAATCTTGATGCACAGTACAACAATTCATTTTTATTATTGGTGTTGGTGAAAGGGGTTATTTCTCTGTTAAATGTAATAAGAGTTTTGCTCCAATAAATGGTTGAGAATACATTGAAACAGTTGAAATACATCCTCTTTCACTGAACGAATTACTCTAAAATCTTTAACCTTGCAAGGAAATACAAACTGAATGACAGAAATATCAATATTATCAAAATGAAGGGGGTTCAAACAGATAATCATCAAAAGTCACCTATTCATCATTTGCATTTAGTTCTTCCAGTCACAGGCTGGTTTCCTGTGGGAAATAAAAATAACCACAAGCCACATCTTCATAGAGTTGTAAGAAGCCCGGATTCTGGAGACTGCTGCTTTGGGACCTGGTCACTCATCTTAAAGCAAAGGGCAGTGAGAGCACCCATCTTTGAGAGTGAAGAGATTCAAGGAGTTCACACGGGGACAAGGTGTGTCATCCTGCAGTCTGCGCTTTCTCAGTCAGAACTTGAAACCATTGTTCTGGATATCTCCTTTCACAGCCCACTTCCTGCCACCCAGATCTTCAAGCAACAGCCCCTAAGATGCCTTCACATAGGCAAATGGAACAGCAAAGGGAAGCCTTTCCCCAAACAATTCAGAGAAAACTACACCAGTGCTAGGATTGTGCCAAGAACTTTGTTCTCTCAGACAGGTCTTGTGCCTACTTCCTCTTCACAAGAACATGACTCACTAGGTGAAAATCGGACTGTGGGTCATGAGACTCTGGCCGGAAACCAGTATTTAAAACCTAAGCTGCCTAAACCCACTGGACATCCACATCATAAGGAAAGTTGGAGACTCCACCTGGACAGGGTATAGCTGGCTGTTTCACACAACTCTATGGCATCTCCTCTGAGGTTCCTGGAAGGGTTGACCCAACCATCTGCTTAGAAACTCTGCTGTTTGTCAGAGTCTCCCTCAGGAGCAAAGATCAACTCAGTTCCTGTGGGGACTATCTGAAAGGCCAAATGTACCTGCAGTGACAAGGATCAAAGGCTCTGGGCTCTTCACGCATTTTAAAAAGAAGACTTCCGTCACCTTACCTAGCAGGGTAACGTCTCAGGACCTTGACCTCAAAGGTGAAACTCTAAGGGAAGTTCCTTCACTGAGTCCACTCTAGTCAGAGACATCACAGCCAACCATGCAGGAGCACAACACAGAAGAACCCAGTTGGCCTTAGCGGAATCAAGCCACGCAGTGCTGAGCCTTTCATACAAATTCTCTTAGGACTTTTGGTTTTTTCCAAACAAAAAAACCCTATGAAGCAGATGCACTTGGGATGAACATATCAAAAGGCAAAGTCAGAGAAGTTAAGAGAGTCAGCCAAGGTCACGCTGCCATGCTCCTTTCCAGGCCTGTGTTCTCACCGTGGGATCTTCTACCCTAAAAGCATCGCTTTCATCCACTGTGTCTGTCCACAAAGTTGAAAAGATTTCGCTTTTCCTTCATGGTTGCTCGTCCTAAGCTGATGTGACTTACCCTGCCCTAACACACATACCTGCCACCAGGCCAAGGCAAAAGCTGTGTCAATTGGAGGTATTTTTTTGTTCTTATATAGAATACATTTGTGTATTGCTCTTTCCTCACAATCACTCTGAGCTTTATCCCAGGAGTCTCCCAACTTTTAACCGAGCCCAATGTGGTCAGCTGAATGATATGTCTTCCCTCAAGTTCATATGTCAGAACACTAACTCCCAACTTCCCCAACATGTGACCTCATTTGGGGTTCTTCATAGAAAATGAGGTTAAAAAGAGGTCATTGGGGTGAGCCCTATTCCAAGATGGCGGATGTCCCCATTAAAAAAATGGAAAAGCTGGACACAGATCCATAGACATAGAAAAGAACCCCACTAGAACATGAAGGCAGCCATC